CGCAGAACGGTCGAACTTCTATTCGACTCGACCCGAAAAGGATGTCCGGATCATAACGCCCCGCGTTCTATACACCCCGTTGCGCCCGTAAGTTACTTTACACGGCCATTTGAAAAGGACACTTCTGGCCCTTTCCAGCGAATCTTCAGCCCGTTTTCTAGCTTCAACTAGCGAGGCTTCGATCGTTGGAGAAAACGTGATGCACGAGTTTGCATTGATCTTTCGGTTAATTCATTCTGTTTGGACTACTAACGTATCATCAGGGACCAGAAACAATTTTATGCGATTCAATGAACTGGAGATTACACGAGTAGCATGGAGAGATAAGGATTACTTTACGGAATTTGTCTACCTTGATTGACATCTTTCGTGAGGTCTGATAAGGGTGCCTATGACAGGTACGAGGGACATTAGTGTGATCTGAGCCAGACATAAGTAGCAAATTGGCTATCCTAAGGGTGAAATCGAGAAGCATCCATCGTATCTATCGGCTGTCCCATAATTAAACGTAACCAGAAGAAGGTACCCGACCCTCGATTACTGTCGTAGAAGTGATCTTAGCCGACTAGAGCTTGTGGCTCCTAATAACGAAGCAGGAGTCCAGATTATTCCCTCAAAACCGATCAGCTTCTGTAGGGAATTTGCCAAACTTAGCAACCACGGTGATTCATCGAGTCGAAAGAACGAACCGAAATGAGATACCGATTCTTCGTCGGTCTGAGTTCTACTATCGATAGGGTTTGTCAAACAGGAGAAGAGGATACGTGGCGTCGGAATGAAGCAACTCGACACACGTCGAGAGCCCCGCGACGCCGATGGAGCTAGCAGAGGTATCTTCCACGCGAGCGGCAGCGAGGAAGGAAAAAAAAAAAGTACAAGGGAGATTAATTGGAACCTTCTCCGGGGGGAAAACGTGGACGGGGAGTTCGTGGCGCGGATGAACGAGAAAGAAAGACAGAGAGGAAATTGGGAGGAGATGGAATGAGACGGAAGAAGGAGACGAAAGAGGAAAAGAGAGACCACCATTAGGATAGCCCGAGGGCGAGCTTTTTGCCGAACACATAATGCATAGCGAAGGATGACACCCTTATCTCGGGATCTTTAATTCCGTGAGCCACCGCGAGGGGGTTGCCGCGTCGTCATTTGTCGGTTGCACCGCGTTGCTGGAATCAGAGACGGCCAAGGGGAAGGGGGGGGGGGAAGTGGGTGGATAAAACCCACCATCCCCGCTGTTAACATCACCGTTCGGTACAAGGGGGGTTGGAAATTGCCTTGGCTGATTTCATTTCGAGCCAGATTATTTTAAGGGGTTCTGCTTTTCTTTCCCCTCCTGTTCCGCGTTCCTGTCAGACCTCGACCACCCCCTTTTCTCCCCCGTCCCACCACGCGACTTCGACGTGATTAATGCGATCCGGGACAAGAGAGAGTCGGCTGGCTGAGCCGAGGCAAACGAGGATCGGGAGTTGCGTTACCTTTCGGGCTTGGTCGCGTGCTAACCGATTAATTTATGCGCGAGCGCGCACACCGAGAGCGATCTATGAGGGCGCGTAAACGGGGCGGGAATCTGATCGACTCGTTGATTCGAGCACGAGTCTCGATGTGCTCGGTTTGGTATCGTGGACAATTGGTCGATGACGGTGACGTTAGTTGTAACCTACACGTGTTACGACGTAGGGTATCGAGTGTTTATAGATTTAGATTTTGTTTCTCGAAATTCATAGTGCACTTTTAGGTGCAGACGTGTTACGTTGTAGAGGACCGAGTATTTCAAAATCTGGATTATTTGGTTTTTAGAAATTCAAGATGCAATTGTAGGTAGGTAGTCATGGTACAACGAGGAATGGGGTGATTCTACTTGCAAAAGTAAATCGAAGGAACGAATGAAATTTCGTTATTTGAATCTTTGCTTTCCGGGAAATCTAATTTGAAGATTATTACATACGCGGGGTGGGTCGAAATTTGTGATACAATATGAGGTCAGGGAGATAATAAGGCTCAAAATAAGAAGAAAATCAAAAATAACGGAAATGTGTTTGAGGTTTCATTTTCGAGATAATCGAATTTGGAAGTCTGCTGGATACGCGGGTAAATGAATAGTATTCTTTTTAGAATAGAATTATTTTTCGGATTTGATTTTTTCGAAAACGAAGCTTCTAATGCAATTTCGTTACTCTTGATTTTCGCCCTATTTTGTGCCGTACTATCGCCTCGACCTCATTTATATCACCAATTTTGACTCACCCTGTACGTAAATGCTAGTAAATGCAATTTGTTTAAGGTATTTTCCAATTTTTGTGTTAGGTTCTCGATAATCAACGGATATTGATATTCACGAGGTAGTAAGATCGATGAGTAACAGGTAGTATCGTACGACCGTCAATGTTTGCTCGAAGTAGAAACAGCCAGTACTGAACAGCCACGTTAGCCGACCTTGTTCAGTGTTACACGTACTTTAAAAATGTTCAAAATCAATTTTCTGGGAATGGAGACCCGTACTGGAAATGTTCCTCTGCCCTTTCAATTTATTCTTAAACATTCTTCGTCGAAGTATTGCACATTTTTTCACATGCCGTACAGTCACTTCAGACCGGAAATGAAACAATTTCTTAAATACTTCAGTAGCTATATTACCAGAATGACACGTATAAATATAAACATTTTAACCTTATTTGAGCCCAAAACAAATTTAATATTAACAATGTCTCTATAAACCGATTCCAAGTGGTGATACACACACCTTAACAACAAAATAAATAACAAAGAAACATTTTTCAACACATAACCGAGTTCTGCCGTAAAATTACTAAAACTACACACTGTATGTAACGCGATGTATCCGAGGAAAGCTGAAATATTCCCAATTTCCAGTGAACGGTAGAAACAAGTTCGAACGTCCAAAGGGGCGACGAGAATTTTCGGGGGGTTGCGAGCAACACGAGGGAGAGGATTCCTTGCGCGCGGGCGAGCGGTGCCGCGAGTTTTAAAGAGTTTCAACGTCCTATTATAAAGTCTTCACCGTGCATAATAACATTCAACTCCGTGGGCTGGAAGGCATTAGGGAAATCGCGTTGCCTCCCCCTGGCTGTATCTCCCTCACCCCTTTCCCTGCTCCCCGACCCCTCGTCCAAAGTGTGCCGGCTCGGTTCTAGCCAGTTTCCCTGTACCTACGGCGGACAATACGGCACCCACAAATCAGCGGATCCCGCGACGCGACCGCGATTTCGCCTCTCGTCGATTCTCGTGCGAGACTTCGCCGCGGTGGCGGGTGGGGCGGGGAACGGAGTCGCAGCGAAATAAGACGCTGTGGGGGTTGGCTAATGTCGGGATAAGGTCCATAAATAAAGGAAGAGAACAGACAAACCTGGAACGCGTTGCCTCCGGGCACATCCCATCCGGCTGAAAGCCTTGGCCCCTGTAAGTGAAGAGAGTGAGAAGATGTGCGGTTGAAACTCAGCTTTGTTCTTTTGTATTTATAAGAATGTTATATTTTCTCGGTAGTAATGGGGCAGCCCCGATCGGGGGGGGGGGCACGATTCGTAAATACGTTAGTAGTGCGCTAATAAATGATATTTATATACAGATGGATTAAAAGAAAAAAAAGGAAAAAGAAGAAGAAGAGTAAAAGAGTACGCCTCCCTGGATCGCGTCGTACCCGCCGCGACTCACGCTGGTTCCTTTCTCTCTTTCTCTGCCGCCCTGCCACGGGGCAGTTCTTCTTTACAGGATTCTCTCTCTTTCTCTCTCGCTCTCTAACCTCTTTGTACTTAATCGATACGGTGATTTCGGATTCGGCTCGCGATCTTGAATAATTTACAATCGTTCGGATCGCGTCCGCGACCACGTGGAAAAATTCCCTGACCCCGTGGCTACACGTCGCGGATTTGAGATCAATTTCAGAGTACGGGGTAACGCAATTTGGTTTCCACGGCCGGGTGGATCATCCACGGGATCGTTGGTGACGCGATCCTCGCGCCTCGCGATTCGCTTCATCGATGGGTACGGAAAACGGATTGTTTATCAGCGCACGCGTCGTTCGCCGTGTTATCTCAGCCGTGTTTTGGTATAGGTGTCGACTTCTCGTCCGTTTGCCTCTTCCTTGCCTGTTTGTCTTCGTTTTTTTTTTTTTTTTTGGCATTAAAGCGTAAAGCTGCGACTAAGCCCCTCTTGTAGCAAGCGTTCTCGATGACGAATTTATTGGAAACGCGATCAAAACGAAGCTTGGTTTGGAAGTCGTTTGGGAAACTGAACAATTCCGATGCTAATAGTCGAAGCAAAATCTGCTGGCTGTTCGAGGCCAGTGGGCGGAGTTAACCCCCACTACACCGCTTCGCTATCCCCCACCACTAGCTCTTCTCGTGCGTTCACCAATAGAAACACGACGTGGAGTGGGGATAGCAGCCTTGAACAGTCAACTTACTTCGATTCGACTGTGGTACGACAAAATCGCCAGCTGTTACGGTCACCATTACCACGCATAGAATTCCACAATTCGTAACTTCGGCCTGCTCGTCGAAGGGCATTTCGAAACTTACATCGTTAATCTTTGGTATCAGCCATCGTAAACGTTCGACCCGCGCGATTCGGCACGTATACCGGCAGATTCGTCGTATATTCGCGCGAGACTCGCCGCGAGACGCACGGAGCTCGACTCCGGTTTTTAATCGAGAACACAAATTTTTCACAATTCTCACACTTGTACACGGATCGCGTATAAACCTCCTCTCGTCGACGAGAACGTCGAAATCGAACTGAACAAAGGTGAGGGGGAGGGGGAACAAATATACTCTTAACGATCTCCGAACAGTTACCTAATAGCTTAAGAGCAAATGAGACTTACGACGATATCAAACGGTCCGTGCGATCGTCACGGTCGTCAAAATGTCCTGATATCGTTCCTCGTCGTCATCCCTGATTCCATCTCCTCGTCACGTCCGTCTGTGGTTCGATTAATCGAACACCGACGAACCGTGATTACCATTAGAAATCATCGTTTGGTCTGCGTATACTGATAGTCTTTTAAGGGGAAGGGGGGGGGTGTGGTGAATGGCAGAGTCAACGATACCGGATTATTTACAATAAAACTCTGCTACGTTCGCCCGCACGCTCACTTCCACACACGCACGCCTCTAAATCGTTCACGCCACTCTAGAAATGTATCTTACATAAAATCGTCTATTTTATCGTTACATGTCGGTACCGTGTATGTATGTGTGTCTGTGTGTTTTACAAGACGCGTATACGGTGTGCCTCTCTGTATATCCAGTTAGATTCTCTGTGTGTGTGTGTGTACACGTCTGTCCGTGTATATATAACATATATACGCGTTAGTACGATCTTACGGACCGATATAATTATCAACAAAATTCTCCGTTAAATTTTTCTTTCACATTCTTTCGCGCGATCACAGTGATTATATCCGCCGAACATCCCGACGAAGTCCACCGGCAAAAAAACGTTCGATCGCCCGGTGATGCGTCGTCCGCGGGGATACTTCGCCGGAAGTCGGCACCCGACGTTTTCTTCGTCGGTTTCGTACGGAATCGCGGATCCTCGCGATTCGTTACGCCTCCCACCCTTTCCACCCGTCTGTTGTGCTGTGTTGTCACTCTGGTCCATTCGCGGACGCGTTCACTTTTCGCGTGGTTTTTGTGCACGTCCGCCGGCTACGTCGATCAACGTTCTCAGATTGCGCATTGGTCGCGCGGCATTAGTAACCGCTGAGACACCTGAGTTTCTTCAATGGCGGTGACAGCTCGTTTCAGCTGGTCGACGCCTGCACGGACATCGGCGGAGGTTTCACCGGGCCGAGGGCCGGCCCCGACAGTCCGTTGTTGTTCATGTCCCCGGGGGCCCTGGGACCACCGACACCTATGGCTGTCCCGTTCGCCGTTGGTGTGCTCCCCGACATTTGACCCTGCAGCGATTAATTGATCTCTTTTACTAAAACTTCCGAGGGAAGAATGTGAATGAGAAGAGAAACACGGCTAGAAATAGATTTGGAGGTAACATCGAAGATTTCCTTGGAATTTGAAGAATTTGGGATGTAACGTACATTGGGGTAAGGTTAATTCAATCTGGAGTAATTTGGTCCGAAAGTCAGAAAATAGCTTTTGACGTAGAAGGCAAATTAATTTAAGAATTTTCAAAGCTGGAAAATCGTAAATGATCATTTTCTTAATTGGAATATATTTACTCTGAGTGAAAATCAACCTAACTAGGGTACAGAGTTTTGCTTATGCGGTTTTAAGGAACTTTACACTAGAACTTCCAAAGCAGTCAAAATGACTTCTTCGTGAAGTCTTATAAAAATTATCAAAATGGGGTAACTGTGGTTTCTGAGATTCATCCTAACCTTTGTCGTAGTATATTAGCGCACAAGTTTGTTAATTCATCGATTTAGATATTTGCAACGAACTGTTCCTTTTACCAACGTGAAAGAAATAGAGTAGTTCTAGTGTTAAGGAACTTGTCTGGAACTGAACGTAGTTCTATAAAAGTAATGTCAAAAATGAGTACATTAATAAGATAAGTATATAGTAAGTGCTTGAAATGGAAATCGTCTTACTTCTATAAAGTTCAATTCGTTTCATAAATCACTAAAATTTCCTTCCAATAGCTAATATGAATTTCCACAATTCTCCGTGATATTCAATAACATATGAGTAGAACGTCTGTTTGCTTCTCAGAGCCGAGGCTTAGCGGACCGGAACGTCTCGTGATACAGCCTATGCAACGGACCCATTCGGAGCGACAATACGCATGTTAAGCCTAAATCTCGAACAGCAGAATAATACAGCAAATGAAAAGGATACTCGCTGAAGTCTCGTGTCACGATTTCGTTTCGCGTCATACTTCGAAGCGTTACAATGTCCCGTAGCAAAGATTAGAAGCGAAAGGAGGTTACTAAATTTGCTTATGAATGCCAGTGCGTCATTAGAGTGACCAACATAAGACATCGACGCACCAGTACCGGTTAAAAGACGTTCCATATTGCTCAGCTGAAGCCAAATGAACGAACGGACAATCCTGCAGTTATCTTCGTAATACTTCCTCTCCGCGAGATTGACAATAAAGTTACCAAAGAGGAACGGACCAAACCGAAGGGCGCGCTTTGCATCGCAAATGGAAACCAGCAATCGTGACAGAGAAGGTAGCCAGAACAGTTTCAATTAAAACGCGGCTGTCCTGTCATCGACGACCACGATCGAAGGTGTCGACAGGGGTTTTACGCGGGCGTGCGTGAAACACTTCAAACGTTCTCCACCTCACTTTAACTTACGTTCGACACGTGATTATGTTGACCCACCGACTGACCAAGTCCCTGATGAGGTTGCTGTGGATTGTGACCGGGATGCATGTTCTGGCCAGGCGGCGTCGGCGTTGGGGGCAGTTGCCTTTTGATGTACGCCAGCGAGGCGGGTGTTTGTGCTGACATATTGGCGAACGCTAGCATCTCGTCGTAGTCGTACTCGCAGAGGATTTTGTTCTCGTTCAAGTAGAATCGATCGCCCACGCAAAACCTGCGAACAGAAACATACACATTCGAGGCTTCCAGGGTCGGCCAGTTACGTTCGTCGACTGTGTATTCGTGACTATGGGCGCTCATAGGCTCGCGCTACACTGTTGGCGGGCCCATTGGCGCCCACGGGAGTGTAATTATCGGACACTATCGGTGATGTGTCATAGCTAGACTGGCAATTTCATGCATTTAGAGCATACAGAAGTGTTAAAGTGTTTGAATTTCGCGTTTTTTCTATTATATACAATTGATCGCGTGTCCTCACGCGACGCCCTCGGCGAGATTTTTTTTTGTTTACTAGCGTTGTGGTGCGACCTATGCATCGACGCATTAAGTCTGTATGGAAGTAAGAATAAAGTAATTTTTTTTGTATGTTGTGGATCAAATTTTTATATTGATTCAATAAGTATGTGAAATACAGTAAGGAACAAAAATTCGATCGAGTTTAATCAGTTTTTGAGAGAAGAAAGAACTTTCTATTCTTACTCTTGTCTTCATACTACTTCATTAACGATTCACTTCAGAAACGTTCAACAATTTTTCTAACAGATTTGACAAATCCACGTTTATAAATCGTGATTGGTCATTTCATGTTTATAACGCACGTAACGTACATAGAAAGTTTGAATTATTTCCAGCTGACAAGAAAATATGCCACTATATCTTAATAGATCGCAGGGATTGTGCGCTATAAATTTTCTGCAAACTAATCCCAATCACTGTCCATCGTAAATAAATGCTGATTTGTGGATGGGTTAGAAATACAAAACAGAGTATAATAATGCAACGCAAAAGAGCATAATTTTATATAAAAAAAAAATAAGTCCAAAAAGTGGAATATAATGTTGCCACACGATGCTTCGCTTCCAATTAAATCGACATTGATCTGCAATACAAAATACTTATCGATTCCGTATCAGACCCACCCAAAGCGCGTTCCCTCCTCAAAGCAATTAAAAAATTACCCCACGTGACCCGCGCGCGCGCGCGCGCGTTAAAGGTCGGAATAAAACAGAACGGACAAATGAGAAAAACCGTGGGCATCCTATGCCGATGTGGGGTTCGTCGATAATCGGTTGATCGTCGCGACGAGCGAACTAAAAAGGGAAAAGAAAGCGCAAATGCGGATAACGAGCGTATCGCAACGTGTCGGACAAATAATTATTATCGGGCTTCTGTCCGCGAGCGGTCTCGCATCCGCTTTGATCCCGGTAGGAAATACGAGAGCGAAATACGAGAGCGGGCAGAGTCTGGTTCGAGGTAGATACTCTCATAATCGTACGGCAAATAGAATTATCGCGTTGCCGTGGCGGCCGTGCCCCGTCGAGAGCGTGTAGCTTATACCCCGGGTTTCGCTCGTTTCCCCCATTATACGCGTCGTCTGCTAAATGACGCTGGCTGGTACTCCGATGCTGGTCGCTTCTCTCTCGCGTCCACCGTGTCCTCGATGGATCCCCCCAGTCGCTCTTTCTATCTCTTTCGCGTTCGCACGTACTCCCACCACACGATATACCCGTTCCATCGCACCGCTATTCAGCTGACCGTCACCTGCTGCTGGACTCTGGCCCCTGTCCGCCACGCGAGATCTCGCCGCGACCGGTCTCTCGCTCTCAAGGTGCTCTCCTTGCCAATTGCCTGTCAGCTAAACCACACAAGGTTATTTACTTTGTCCGGAGGTTCGCGACCGGACTCTCTGTCTCCCTTCTTCCTGGCTACTCTTCGGGCGTCTTTCTGCACGCGGTTTTTGCCGGACGGACGGATGGCTCGATGCAGGCATTTCGAGTGATCACGGAGATTGTTCGCTGAGAGTAGCTTGACGAAGGAGCAGGTTTCTGGTGGTATCGAGGCGAATAAATGTTTTTTTTTTTCGCTTTTGCTGCTTAACTCTTTGAAGCACGGGATTTTAAAATAAAAAAAATACCTAGTTGCATGTACATCTTTTTGTATGAAATGTGTCAAAATATTATTCTACTTGAATTATGTTTTATTTTTAGTAATTCCACGATTTAAAGGTGGTATGAATAACGTCCGACTATGCGAGTTGGGTATGAAAAGAAGGTGGGACATTTTTCATACCACCGTGCCTCAAAGAGTTAAGTGGTGGATCGCTGTGGAGATCGGAATATTTGCGGCAATATTTAGGTTCCAAGCAGGCATAGGTGGCAATATTTGGGTTCCAAGCAGGTGAATCTTATTTACTGAATAAAGGAAATTTAATGAAGGCCTATGAGATTCAAAGAGTTTAGACTTTAATGTTTGCGAGAAGTGCAGATTATAATTTATTAACAATACGATCCTAATAAAACAAGTCCTCACTGAATAACACCTCCATAAATACAGCTCAATTTCAGAAGAGCTAGCAAGATAAACAAATTTAATGACAACAGATTTTTAAAATTTTCAAAAAAAATTTTTTAATTTTCTAGAAATCAGTCCCTTCCTAGATCTATAAGAATTAAGTAATAATATACGTATCACTTTAAGAGTAGGCACGAGTTAATAGTATGATTATGTATTATGAATACAGTAATAGACCAAAGATAAGTCTAATAGTATTATTTGGATGACAATAAGATCGACTTTTGGAGATTTAGTACTTTAATCCTTGCAACGTATTTCACTCTGTCCGTCTGGATCGAAACAGATACTCCTATAATTGTGCGACCAGCACCATTATCGCGTCGCACGAGCGCACTCGTTCCAGGCTTTCTATTATGATCCCGCGAATAATGACGGCCCGGATCCCGGTCCTTTAATTCCCGCGTCCGGTGCAGGTGTCTGTCGCGACACGATACTGGCCCGCGATACTCGCAGATTTTCTACTTTCGTTCAGCGTTTTCATATTACCAGAACTAGGTTCCCTCTCCTGTTTTTCAATTGCAATCTAAAGCAACTGCAGTTGTACAGAACGGTTTATTATTGTTAGCACAATCGACAGCGGAGTGATTTTTCGTTAGAAAAATAAATGGACTGTCGGGAATAAAATCATTACAAATGGGGTTCAGGTCTGTTCATTGCTGGCCATTTCTACTTATTCTACATAGGAATGCATAAGTATCGGAGAACTGTTTCATGCACTTTTCCCGAAACACAAGCCATAACACATTTCATTCTCTAATTTTCACTCACTTTTTCATAATAAATCATCCTCTTATCAATTCTATCACAATTAATAGATTATTCTATATAGAAGTCAAAATAACTTAAATGATCAAAGAAAAATACTTCTTGGACTCACAGCCTAACACCCTAACTCCCGTTTTTGGGCGACTGTCCGCCCATTAAGCCCAATCCACTCCGTCCAAAGCACCATACCAAATACCACACCACTTAAGCCCAGTTAAGCTAATTTACATCGTCACGAATAAAAAAAAATCGAAGCCACATTGACCACCTAGCTAATGTGTCAACGACTACCTCCTGCACCCACCCCCTCTTTTTTCTGAAACATTACAACAAGATTGCCTCAGCTTTACTTTCGAGTTCCGTTGCCGTAACTCTTCGGTTTAGTGGCTTCAATGTTCCTTCGGCAACGTCTCTGCGCGAAGCATCGAGGAAGTGGTGGGGGGCTCTAGGTTGTACGCGCGAAGCCCGCAACAACGTCGAGGCTGAAATATTAACTGGCCGCGCGGCCCGAAGACGAAGAGGAGAGAGACCTCGATTGCAGGACCGCCGTATTACACGACGGATAACTCGGTTGAATCTTTAACGAGGATCAACCTGGGTGTCTGCGAGATACCCGAAACGGCCGGTGGACGTGCAAGAATCCGAGGAAAAATCGTACGAAGTGTCCCCCTGGAAACGGACGGCGGCTTGCGAATAAATAAGTAAAGTAACCTGGTGCCGATGCGTGACCCCATTAGAGTCACTTTACGGGACACCGTTCGCCGCTGCAGTTGTAACGTTTTCGGAGTAATGCCCGGCCGTGTGCATCCAGAACCAACGAAATAAAACATTCGCCTCGAGTCCTCTGTGAATCCTTTCTTTGAAAAGGACACACGGGTTTCTTGAATAAAATTTGCATACGCAGCCCGGCCGCTGCAAGACTCGCGATTCTGGGAACCGTCGACGTTACTCGCTTTAATTTTCTTTCGAAATGTCGGGCACCGATGCTACGTGGTAGCTAGATGGAGTAAAAAAGTAAATTAAATAGGATACAGCAAGGTGTACGAAGGTACGTGGTACAAATTGGAGAGCTGTGGATACTTGAGTGGAGTCAAAAATCGATATTTCGAGAATGTTGTTGACACAATTTTCGCGATTGTTCTAATTGGTGAACGGCTCGATGCTGTCTTGATATTGCCTACTGCTGGATAGAGCCACTAGATGGTAGGGATAGCGGTGTGATGGTATGAGGGGTGATAAAGGGGAACGATATCTTATGGCGAGAATAGTGTACTTTGACCAGAAGGGTACAGATCTCTCATTTGTTACGTTCCTCGATTATTATAATAGATACCGAGGTTTCGCAAGTTACCAAGGCTTTATTTCGATACGCGATAATAACCGATCTGAAGTCGTTACAATCTTGTATGTTAACAAATCGAGAGAATACAGTGATAGTTATGTAGATTACAACATAGCATATATTTAATATTAATATACCAGGTGGTTCGATATTAATGATAGAACAAACGGGAAAACGATTCTTCAAACGCAGACATTTGTGTCTGTAAGTGAATCTGTACGCCATGACCAGACACGTTAACCGAGTCCTATTCGGTAGCACGCGTACCCAATCAAAGTTTCAAGATCACATTCCCCGTAACCAATACTGATCAACGGTAATTTTATTCTAAACTTCTGACCTATTTTTCCATTCCGTATACTTATGCAAATATAAATCATTGTAGTCGAGTTTACAGACACTGCAGCCAAAAAGGAATATGTTTGCTTCCTCCACTATTTTACCTAGGTTCCAAATAAAACGAAAATCGTCTCAATCTTTCCCAAACTCTTAACCATAATAAATTCCAGACAATCGTGTACGGTATAAAATACATTCACTGTCTATCAACTTTAAATTTTGCCTCGTTAAATATTTCTAACTTGATTAATGTCCTAAGGACGAAGATCGAGAGGAACGAACGTGTACCGAAGATATATCGAAAAACTGTCTAAAATTTCAGTATCTTCAGTGCCCGAGGACTCGTAATGCCCCGGTACGGGACCGTGAAGAATTAACGAACGTCGAATTAGCGACGTCACGGCGGCGAACTCCAATTTGTAGTCGACGGGGGCATTAACTGGGCGGTCGTTAAATTTGACCGGACGTCTTCTCGAGAGGATCGAAGAAACGTCGAGGGGACGCGTATTCCGGCGGGCTCCGGCGCGCGTGTTAGTTTACCATCGTGGGGAAGGTGTGTGTCGGTGCACGCAACACTGGGTCGCGCGTGTGTGTGTGTGTGTTGGTTAGGCGCGGGCGCGACAGAGAGAGAGGGATATCTAATTGGATCGGTAAATCATCCTCTAACCAGGAGGGTGGTAGGCCAGGCACCGCCACCGGCAACCCTTTATTCTGTGTTATTACAGTCTAAAGTTACCCCGTGTAATTGTTGCTGTTTAATTGCAAACTCTAAGTCGTCGCGTTACACGTCGCGGCGCCCCGCGTATAATTGCCCCTCCTCGTGTTCAACCCGCTCGTTTTTTACCGGCGAAATAATTGGAAACGATCCCCAAACCACCGCTCGAAACGTCTAAATCTGCCGAACCGTAGGGGTCGGATGGCCACGGATCGTTCGGATGATCGCGATTGTCTAGGGACGAATTCACCCCGACCTTGCTGGGATTTTAGAATATAAACGGAATAATTGTGAGGATGAAAATTGTGGAATTGAGAATTTCATTCTTGTTCGACATTCAGGTCAATTTGACCCGAAATTGAAGGTTCAGCTTTACTTGTATTCTTATTGCCATTGCGGAAACTTGTGGACCAATTTTACAGGAACAGTGAATGTAGGGTAAGTGTCCTAATTACCATCAGTGTCCCTAGTTGCCCCCCTTTAAAATAGAACAAGGTGTCTGCGTATTAACAATTACTCCTACTTGTATAAATTGATTGTAAACATTAGCAATTTTGAGACGTGGCTTAATTAACTATTAATTTACTAAAAACTGTCATACGTTAGAAGATACTAGAATCAACAAAAGGCAGACAACACCATACACCCGTTCCTGTTTACCGCAAGTAGATACGGTGAGTAATGAACAGACATGTTAGCCAAACCCTATTCAGAAGTACGCGTACTTCAGAAACTTTCGAAACAACTCTAAACCAGTTGTAATCCTCTTTTTTCCATTCATTTTTCTATGTCACTGCTCAACGTCAAACAATCCTCTAAAGAATGCACCCATTTACGCGCCCATTAGGTAATATCGAACAGGGAAAGGCCAATATTAAAACTGCGACGACCATTTTCGTGCTGAAACGGACCAATTGGTATTCCGCATCGTTGTCTCCCCCTCCCCCGTGGTTTCATTAAGCCACGAAAATGGTCAAAGTCGCAGTACCCGCAATAGAAATCAGGTCGATCCGAGTCACCGTGAAACTCGAACAACGCCCCACCGGCTCGCTCGTAATCGTTCCGCAAGCGAGGCAATCGTCGGTGCCGTTGGGCCCGGTTCCGAGCAAAAAAGCTATCCACCGAACCGCAAGAATATCGCGTCGATAGGGTAGGGGGAGAGAGGAAGGGTTGAATTACGAGACAAAAGCGGGTTTCGTTGATTCCGTGGAAGTCAGTTGTAACGTCGAACGCGACGAGATGCCTTGGGCACGCCGACACACAGAGAGAGAGACAGAGAGAGAGAGAGAGAGAGAGAGAGAGAGAGAGAGAGAGAGAGAGAGAGAGAGAGAGACCACCGTCGTCACTGCCCGTTCGCTGGCCCATTGTCGAAGATAGACAATGCCACGCGATAAAAACGTAAAATTGATGCTCTTTTGTTCGCATTGTTTGAGAAGCTGTACAACGTTTGTCGCACGCCTGGACGAGCCACTGTTATTGGCTCCAAACTACATTCTCCTGTTCCGTTCCTTCCAACCCCTCCGCGACCTCGTCCGCCACTTTGCCGCTCTCACTCGTTCTCTTTCACTCTCTCTCTCTCTTTCTCACTTTTGCGCCCCTTATCCGGACCGTTGCCAGCTCGCTTTTGCTCGCCGGCAACCCTCGAAACCTTTCGTTTCGTCAATAAGCCCCGGCCATTGTGCTCCGCCACGGTTCCATAGTTTCGGCGTTTTACATTGACCGCTTCCAAGCTAGTCCTCTTCCATTTTCCAACTCCCCCGCCCCTTGCCTACCATCTTTTTCGGTTTCCCGCCAATGAACCTCATGATCCTGGTGTCCCTTTCTACGGTATACTTTTCTTTTCTCGCGGATCTGAAACACTAGACGATTTCGCGGTTTCTTGTTTTATCCTCGCGAACTTCTGCTATCCTTCGCGTCGAATCTTCGCGTAATCGCAACGTTCCAGTGTCGTCGACCGCGCTACGGGACCTCGTTACCCGGCCGCAATAAAATTTCAGACCACGGGAAATTACTCGGAGGTGTCCGTTGCAATTTACGCGCGGCAGATGGCAGGCCCCGATTCGGGGGAATCGCTTCGAGCCGAATTGCGGAAGTTAATGAAAGATAAATACCGAGGAAACGCGGGAGAATGTGGGAAATATAGTTAATGATCGTTGTGAATGGAACGGACGAAAGTCGAGAATGATTCGCGAGATTTGTGGGATCGATGGTAACGCGTGGACTTTCACGCCAATAACTACAAATTTTAACACTTTGATTGCCACGTCACCCGAATACTGATGACATAGAGATTACAAAGAGGCTGGATTATTTAAATACCGTTACAAAATTTTTCGTCAGATTTTCCTCGCGGCATCTATGTCCACATAAAAATCCAGAATAAATAACACTACCTCAGGGCGATTCAATTCGCGCGGCCAAGAGGGTCGGAGAGAATTTAGGAGTCGTATTCCACCTGGACACACGTTGTGCATCGCGCGAGCCATTCTATAGTTCGCTGTTCGGCATTTAGGGACCGTCTCGCTCGCCGGGCGAGGAAGCAATATGATACAAAAATGTCAGCAGTATCTAGATAATTACATAACTGGTCTCACGGGTCGACAGGGCGAGGACGGGACGTGTGGGGCAGGAATAACGTGAAGTTGGCCCTCTCCTCTCCATGGAACGACGCGCCGCGCGAGTATGGCGGGTGGGGGAGGGAAGAGGTCGCGACGGATAGAGCACAGGGTGATTTCCCAGCTGACCTGTAAAGCAACTCCCGAGCGGACTGTGTCTCGCAAACCAGTACCCGCTTCTTTCCTTTCGTTCCCCCCTCCCGCGTGTCTCTCACCGTACACCCTTTTCTCTCTACCCTCGGCTCATCTCCTTCGTCCATCCTTTTGTCTCCGCCTACAGGCTCGCGCGTATTCACGCTTTTCTCTTTCTTCGACCGTAGAGGCACTACTCGTTAACCAGGACGGTGCACGATCGCGAAATAGGATGAATGATCGTGGAGAGTCGAACGGAAAGAAAAAGATAGCCAAACGAATGGTGATCAATACTAAATTGACCGACCACAGCCAGGTCCCAATTAGTGTGCCAGATGGGAGAGTCGGAGGAGATACTGCGAACTCTGTGCTACTCGTATTCACAGATTGCTGCACGGGATATCAAACGGGCACAACTGGGACGACTCTCGGGAAACGGTGAACGACTAATTGATGTTGATTCGACCGTAGACAGTTTTCGTCGGGAACTGTAACGCGCACGGACGACGATGCGACTGGGCAACGGTTGTCTGAATAAGGACAGCAACTCATATGTACTGTAATGAGAGGATTGATATTCGACCACTTATGGTCAGCTTTTAACACTAGAACTACCGACGATAAACGTATATCTATTCCTATCAGATCGATGAACATGACAAATTTCTGAAAATATTTAAATTTATAAATTAACTATTCCTTCGTTTTTATATTACAATGAAAGTTGTGAAAAATCTGGGTAAGTGCTGTAACATTTTAATCGTCAATATAAGAATATACTAATCAGTCATTTTGACTGCTTTGGTAGTTCTAGTGTTAATAGTGGTATGAATTCTAACAACAACGAATATAATTCAGATTTGTATTGTAGTTGTGTCTATAATCTTCTCGTGATCACCGAGCAGTGATTCTTAAACCATGATGTTTGCTTAACTTACCGATAACTGCACTGTTGACAGGCAAAACAGTCGAGGTGATAGACATTTGCCCTGGCCTTCATGACCAATTCGAACGGCGGTATCTGCTGCTTGCAGGCCGAACAGTATCCCTTGTTCCCGAACAGCCTGAAGTAGTCCCTCTTGCAGAGGATAAGGTTGGCCTTCGTGAACAAGGTAGAGCCGACCTCTCCTAACCTACAGTCGCAGCAGCCGCACTTCAGACAATCCTCGTGCCAGTAGAGGTCCAGGGCCTTTAGGTAAAACCTGAAGAACCGACCATAGTTTTCCTCTTTACCGACCAGAGTAGTACAACGCCCGCCAGCCTAATTCTCTATCGTGATTTAAACCGAGCGATTGATCATCGACGTGGTCCCTAAGTTTCCGATTTTGTAAGATAAGTTTTTCATTCGATTCCTTGTGTATACTGTATACGACATTCTTTATAACTTGTTACGTTCGCGTTACGACTCGTTATGTTTGGAAGATCAATTCGCTTCAGATAAAAATAATGATAAGATGATTCTGAGATAAATAAAGGATAAATCAAGATGATTCTATTAATATACTAACGTTATAAGAATCAAGTTAGTATGCAATTTTATGTTTTATATTTGTTCTGAATAAGACATCGAACTTTCTCTGAACTTTTTCATTTTTTTTAACAAACTCTAGAATACTAAAAGTATATTTGGTATCGAAACGTTAAATATTTTATAAAAAGAACACAGTGTCGTTCCACAGTTAATTTGTCATTAGAGAAAAATCAATCATCATAAAGGACTAGGTCTTATGATTAAAGATGTAGAATGTAAACGCGCCTTTCCCCTTCACAAAAATTGCAAAAATACAGCGTGACTCACCTTTCCGTGATCGTTTTCTCGCAACCGGCGCACTCTTGCGGCGTGGTGCCATTTTTATTCGTCTCCGACTTACTCACGTCCATAGTCATCGTGCTTTCGGCTAGAACGCCGTCTGCGAACAGAGAAAGAACAACGACCGGTTGAATCGACGATATCGTGAATCGTGTCTCGCGGCTATTGTGCATCCGTAACAATGGTCCCGCAGACAGTCCGCGAGTAATGTACACGTATGCCACGGTAATAACCGTCTGCGCGTGGTAAGTGGCCGACAACGCGCAATAATGATCCACGCTAATTGGCCCAGTCGTCCGTCATCGCGCGTCAAATCTCACGCACTCGCCCAGCACGGTGAAGCGACGTTCGATAGTGGATCTCGTGGAGGATTCAGGCAGAAATAAATAACTTCATTTTGAAGGATTAATTTCAAATCGATTGCACGTTCGAGAAACTTGGAGTATTCTATATTTATCTGTTTTTGATAGATCGTCGATGAGATCCAACGCAGACATTGAAAATCGTTTGGGCTATATTTACAGTTTAAAAATTTTGAATGTTTAAAACGTTACTTTTAAAACTTGTTATTGATCTTCAGGAATTCAAAGATTATGTATTTTCGGTCCCGTGTTTCGTTAGATCATGGTGAAAAGTGACAAACGAAAATGAGGTGGAACATTTTTTTATACTGGACTTTGCTTATAAGTAAATCAAGCATTGTAATACGACGAAGATCATACGTCTATCTATTACTTACTATTCTATTTACGTTGATACTTATAGACTTGACACTCATACAATCTATTATACACACTAATTACACAAGTAGGAATGGATAATTACGAGATACTCGAAGCCAGTAGAAACAGACAGTCAGACACAGACACGTTACCAGTCACCTTCGTTTAAAAAATTTCGTATAAAAATGACCTTATTCTACGCTTTTTACTCATTATTTCAGAATCTTAATTCTTTACAGATTATAAAACCAGATCGACGACAGCTTTACATTCCCTCCAGGAGCCACGTGGTCAGCGCGTACCAAACAAGCAGAAATCACCCCCACAACATCAAACTTCTGAAAAGGTACTGTGAAATACACAAGTTGACGTCTTGAGCCAACGACTCCGATCGACCCTCGGTCCCATTAATCCCGAGCGTTTGAGAAGCCAGTTAGCCTCGAAGCCGGCGAAACATCCGGTGGCCGCGTTTCGAGGATCGACGAGGAAACGCGGGCGGCAGCATCGATCACGGGAACGTTCAAACAGTCGTGGTGAAAAGCGGTGGCAACTACGAGAAAGAGAGAGGGAGAGGAAGAGAGTAAGAGAAACACGGACGAGCACATTCACAGAAACGAACGCGTTCTAAAGGCGATTCGAGGAAAGGAGGACGGCCGGCTAAAATGGTGAGTGGGTGCAGAAGCGAGGCGCGGGGGCTTAATTAATTAGCCGGATACTTTGAGTAACAATCCATTATTACATACAAACATCCTCGGCCCCGGGGCCGCGCTGTAGCTTTATGCTGCTAATTGGCCTTCTCAAAGCTTGGAGACCCGGGCACGAGTTATAAACGCCACTCCTCTAACTCGCCGGCACCCCGACTCTACCCCCCTTCCCTTTCCCCCCGTTCTCCACCAACTATCTCCACCGTTTCTCTCTTCTTCTCCTGCCTCTTACTTCCTCCAACCGCTTGTCTCTCTATCCGTCCCCCTCACACCCATCGTTTCGCCTCCTTCTCTTCTGTACAGGCTCGCGTGTCGTCCCCCCAACTCCCCTGACCATCATCCCCCTCCGCGCTTCCTCATCCGCGCGTACTTTGCAATGCACATAAAACCCATACAACGGTATAGGATACGGATACGTGAACTCGGGCCACACACGCACGTAACAAGCCAGGGGTGACAGAGTGTTGGTGAATGGTGGACGGGCGAACGGTTGGAACGAAGAGGAACAGCACAGCACGAAGGGTGGGATAGACGGAGATGAGGGTAGGAACCAGAAGGGGCGGCGAGGAGGAGCAAGAGGAACGACGGATAGCGCTAATAACGCGCTCGTGGCGCAAAAAAAAAAAAAAACGAGGAAGGAGTATAATTGCCAGCCCTCGTGGCAGGTATTTTTCAAATAGGACCCCGTCCGTTAATTGGAGGGCAAATTAAAGAGGCGCCGCGGAGGAAAAAAACATCATCCCTCTACCCGGCGTATCCCCTTGGACCCCCCTCTTGGCGTGCCCCACCTACAACCGCCCGGTATCCAAGAGACGTCTCGTGATTCGTCAAACGATCTGTGCGCTCCATTTTTTTCTTCTTCTTCTTCGTTCACTACGGATTTACTTCGTTCTTCTCACTTTTTCCTTTCATTTTTTTCTTTCGTCGTCCACTTTTAACGACTTTCCCCTCTGTCCGCCGGTCTACGGTCGTTCCCGTGTTCGATTGATAGGATATCGGTCGCTGCGAGACTCTCGGGAACCGATCGAGGGAATTTCGTTGTCGAGGGAACGCGTGTAAGAGAGTCGACGACGAAGAAGCGGAATTTCGCGCGCGTTCAAGATACCACCACGGTGAGAAAGAGAGAGAGAAAGAGACTAGGCGACCCGGGGAATGGACGATCGATCACCGATTACACGATCGACTGGTCCGATCCCTCTGGTCCGAGGGGTAGGGAGGGGATAATCGAAACGGGAGCCACGGGGATCGGTAACGAGGGAAAACTCTCTTCAACTCCCCCGGCGCGGAGCTATTAGCGCGTGTATCCGCGCCGTTCGACGGACTTTTCACGGCCGGTACCGGTTATTTGTCGGGGCACACGCAATATCCGGAGCCAGCTATAAGCTGACCGCCGAGCGGTCTGTTGTCCGAAGGGGGTGGGAGCACCAGGCCGATGAAACGTTAGATAAAATTAAATTAATCCTGTCAATTTACCGTCCCATTATTTCGCGACAATGCGCGCAACGCGGTATATTGGCGGGCGAGCGCGCGCGGATGGTCAACGATATAACCCAAGCCTCGACACCGAGAGATTCTGATTTACGCGGCTACTTCCAGTCCGGGGAGGAAAAAAATTTCTCGCGCACACCCCTCCCGTCGACACCCGTAAAATCGGTCTCGCGCAAGAAACGGCTTACACGGAAACCCCGTGACCGCCGTCTCGAACGTAAAGCAATCGTAAAGTGAAAAGTTGATTTATGGAGAACCTGGTAGGGGGGGGGGCGTATATAGACGGAAAAGGGGATGGGGGTGGTGGGTGACGGTTGAACGCGATACAAGTTCCATCGTTTCCGTGCTCCGAGTGTCTTGTCGGTGAAGAGAGACGGGCAGCGGATACATGGGGGGAGGGAGGAAAATGCCGATCGACGGACGAATCGGCGACGGATACGACTTTTTATTCGGTCAATATAAGAGGCACCCTTCCGAGATTACGAAACTGCCCTAACAGCAATATGGGATAACCCAGCGGACAACCCAGTCTCTCTCGTCCCGGATCGCCGTTGCGTCTCATCCCGAAATACGTCGCTACGGACAGGGCCGCTACGGCTGGTTTAATAAAAATGTCAAATATAAAGTAGCCGGCGGGGACGGACGTTTAGGAAATAAATAAATGTAAAAGAAGCGGCCTGGAGAGAGGTAGAGAGGGGAGGAAGGGTACGCGTCCGGAGAGCAGAGCATGGGAGAAACGAGAAAACGACGCACACCACAGGGGTGGAGGGAAAATATTATTCGAAAGGACTGGGGGGGGGGGGGGGGGGGGGGGGTCAGTGCGTCTCCGAACTCTATACATATATACACGCAGGCTGCATTCTCGAATTTTATGGAATTTTTTTTCACAGTCTTGAGCTTGCCGGAGGAACCGGCTGGTTTGGCGTTCACATAGGCGTGGGAGAAACGTTCCAGTTTGTTGGGGTGGTTTTCTTTATGGGGCAGAGGACTTTCTAACGACGTGAAATTCGATATACGGTGTGATTAAGTGGGTACGAGTGTTGTTTGTTGTTTGGGGTATGAATAATGATTTTGTTCACGATCATCCTCGTTGGGCTTTATCGTTATTATTATTAGATTGTTTGTCTCCTATATCTTGCATTGATTAGACTAGTTTTGGACCATTTCAAAAACAGTTTTTCACCTGTTTCTCACAATAAATTGGTAAGAAATAGGTGGACGATTATAATTCATGCATGCACAATGTAATAATTCTATACAGTTTACATGTATTCCCCGAAATCTAGTATTTATTTACTTGACAAACACAGTAGTGGAAATTCTATGTATTTTCAGGCTACAAACAAATGAACGAACCTCCACAAATTCAGTTATTAATTTTCCGTCAGTCTAACATATAATTTTACAGCTGAAAAGTAACCATTACACGGACATGATTCTTATAATTCTTCATAACAATATTATTTTAGAAGAGCAGTACGTCTCAACCATTATCTTTACTTAAAAACAAAATCCCCATTTATAACCTACCCTTAACTCTTCCGTTCGCGTTCGAGATTTCGCGCGGTGAACTACTAAAGCGCAATTAAAAATCGCCACACGTTTATCAGGATTCCCCGGGCATCCGAGTGGGGCGGCTGCAGTTTAATTGCGTCCAGCGTCGAAGCAATTAGACCGGTAATTTTACACGTATCCCTTATCCGGGGCCGAACGGCGGAACTTAATACCTCGGCCTGTTCCGCGAGAATCCGATCACGGGGAATCAAATAGGAATGCACCCATGGGCGTAGCAAAGGGGAGCAGAGGGGCACTTGCCCTCCCCCTTGGACGGAAAAAAGTGGCTTTTGCCCCAACCAACAGGAAAAAAAATTGGATTTTACCCCCCCCCCCCTTGACAGAGTTACAAATTTTTTTGCGTAATATTTAATATTACAGTATAATTTAAAACACGACCAAGAGCCTCTATTAACAAAACGCATACCTTTTTTAACGATTTATGACTTTAAAAACGAAATAAAGTGTGTCTGGCTAAGTACAGCCGTTTTCACTGTGGCAGTCGATGCGTTAATATTTTTGCCCTCCCCTGTCTGATAACCTGACTACGCCCATGAATGCACCTGTGTTCTCATCGAACCAAAATTGCACGTGTGGTGAGGTGGTGGG